TGGTGTAACATGCGTGCTGGGCAGGCTGTTTGCATCACTGGAAGCTCTGAAAGGTTTGTTGTCCTTGATCTTGACTTGTCAACCTTAGGAAATAGGAGCATTTGTAGTGGCCGCCAGGGCCCAGGGCCCAGGCATCGCACCACTCAGGACTACGCATGCCCAGAGCAGGTACACACAGTAGAAGCCAGGTGGATCTCTTTTTCCTCTTTTGTATTTAAAGCAAAGCAAAATTGCACCTTTAGAATAGGGATCTTAGTTTTCTGTTGCTATAATGAAATATTGGAGACTGGATGATTTATAAAGGGAAAGAAGTTTATTTAGGCTCACAGTTTTAGGTCTGCAAGTTCACAGGCAGGCCACTGCCTCTGTTGAGGGCTTAATGACACAATGGAAGGCAGAAAGGCAGGCACTAGGGGTGGCCTTGCTTTGTGACAGCCTGCTCTTTCTGGTGACCAGCATAGTCCCATGCATGTAAGCAGGAACTCACCTGTCACTGTGAGAAGGAACATAGTTTTGGGAGAAAAGAATTACCCCTCTCCATAGCCCAGTAAGGGCCCCGGTTCTCATCACCACCACACTGGAGTCAGAGGTCAACCTGGGTTCCAGTGGGCACAGACGGTACTGAGATCACAGCCGTGAGTCATCTGAGACACAGGTCCCAAAGGCATGAAGGGCAGAACCTGCTGTCCGTGTCTGTCCTTGTACTCCTGTGTCGATACGGTTGAGGCCAATTTGTTGGGTCTTCTTCCGGAGTGTATGTGTGTGCTGAAAACATGTACATCTACCAGCAGGAATTGAGCATCTGCTGTATACAGTGCTGAGCTGGGTTCTGGCGGGAATGTGAGGTGTGATTGAAAAGCGTGATGTGTTTAAACCGAAGGAAATTATTCTTGTAAAGATACCTACAGTAACCCTCCACCAACCACCCCTTGCTTCAAAAGCTCTGAGGCAGCCCTGGAATTCCTCCTTAGATGATCCGTTGTGGCTGCCTTGAGGTGCAAAGTATTCACCTTTCCTGGTTGTTTTGACTCTGAAAAAGAGCCAGAAGTTACACTGCTCCGGGTCTCCTGCATACAACAGCCGAGGACACAGTCTTTTCACACGCTTACCTTTCCATTGGATCACCCTTGGCACCAGCATTCACTGAAATTTTGATCCTGTCTTACAAAGACATTCACAGAACTGAGCTTCCAAAACTGCTCGAGGGCAGTGGGCCAAGTGTGTCTGGAGTGAGGAGGAGTCTCCTGAGTGGGACAGTGTGTCTTTTACCTTAATAAAAAGTTGAACTTGAAGCAGTCACCTTAGTTTTTGATCCCCTTCCTACACAAAGTGCAGAAACCTGGGCAGGGCTTCTCTGCCATCCATGCCTGTTTCAGGTCCCGGCTCCATTCCTGTGTGCTCTGATCCAAGGTGTCCGCCTGCCTTCTGCCTGAGAGAGTCCTAGATGGCACCTGGGGTCAAATCCCAGCTCCCCTGTTTTCATCCCGTTCTGCAGCTGTCTTCCAAGCCTGGCCCTGGATTGTATGAATAGCAGGAGGGTTCATTTTTTCTTTGTATTAGAGGGACAAGGTAGCGGTCTAGGTTAATTTTAGTTTCATCTTTTCTGCTTTTCCATGTGGTATATCATAAACATTTGTAAGTAAGGTCACATGCATTTTGATAGAAAAGCGTTTATGTTTTCTGGCTTGTGTGCATGATTTGGTCTGAAGAACTGCTACACACCCAGGTTCACCAGTTGTTAGCACAGACACACGCACACACTCACAAGGTCCTTTGGACCCTTTTGAGAATAGTGCATAGGCGTGGCCTTTACCCTTAACTGTTCAGGGGATGTCTCCTAAGCACAGGAGCATTCTTTGACATCACTGCGAAGTGATTGCCAAGCTGAAGACATACAGCTACGGTTATATCACCGCATCTACAGGCCACACTCAGTGTTGTTAATGTCCCAGTCATGTGCTATTTGACTTTTTCTTCCTGATTTTATGTTGTCATTTAGTGGCTGTGTTTCTCTAGCTTGCCTTTAACTTGCAGTGTTCTTCAGCTGTTTTTTTTCCCTTGTAGGACACACATTTACGGTACATGGTTCATTGTAGGGAGCTGGTACACGCAGAAACCACATCACAGTCCTTGCTACTTCTTCTTCCCTTCCCACCTGCCTCTCCTCCCGCCCGGCTCCCTTTCCCACTGCAAAGGCTCTGCCTCCGTTTCCCACTGTCTTTCATTTTGTTCTTTAAATTACTGGCATTTCGGGTTTTTCACAGGAGAAAGCATGTGACCTCTGACCTCCTGTACCACTTTCCTTTACTTAGCAATAGGCAGTCCTCCTGCAGATGACTTGGATTCACCCTCCTATGGCTCTCCACGCTCTTGGCCTTGACATTGTCCAAAGGCCCAGCCAGCTGTTTTGTAGACTGTTGCTCAGTTTGCGTTGAAATCTTCTTTGCTGAAATCTCTGCTGTACTGCTTGTTTGACTGTGTTCCTTATAATCCTCAGCAGTCTTCTGTCGCTGGTGGTCACATCTGCATCTTGTAGATGAGGAAGCCAAGGTGCGAACAGTGAATCAGTTTGTCCATTATTATACACCTAGGAGGTGCAGAGCTGGGGGATTCTAATTCAGGGCTGCCAGACAGTAGGAACAGATGACGGTAGTGAGAGCCTGGGAGTAACAAAGTGCTTATCCAACACCTGCCCCAGCCAGGTGTTCCGCTAAGCCCTGCACCTGCACAGTCTTGCGACCCAGATCCAAGGCAGCAGCTGCTCTCTCTATCCCTGCTTTGCAGATGAGTCCGGCGTGGTCACTGACATAGCTGGTGCCTGGCAGGAGCAGCTCTGGCCTTTAGCAGCCTAAGTCCTGAGCCTGTACCCATGGCCTTTGTGTGCAGGGCTGTTGTGCTGCATGGACTTTAGCAAGTGTGGAAAGGCGCAGGAGTGTCCATGTGGGTCCTTTCTAGGCCGTTTTCCGGGGAGGAAACATCCCAAGGCCAGGCCCGTGCTCAGGAACTTGCTAGGGACAGTGGTGCCATATCCCACAGTCCATAGCAGCCAAGGGTGCCACAGGCTAGCACTGCAGTGTGTCTGCAGAGGCCAGTGGTGTTAAAGGGATCTTTGGCAATCAGAAGAGGGACATGAACAGCAGTCCAATAGGGGCCCACTGTGGATGGGAAACCTGTGCCCCTGCCCTGCTGGGTGCCCAAACAATGGCATTTTTTTTAAAAATTTTATTTAAGAGGAAAAAGAGAAAAACACAAAACAAAACAAAGCGGTGTAAGGGTACACGTAATACAGAACTACAAAAAAAAAAAAAAAAACCATAACAGTAAGAAATCACCTGTTAATAGATTACATATTATCATCTTGAAAATAGTTGCTCAAATCACAGTATCAAAGAATACAAGGTGGACATTCAAACAGGGAGACTGCAAACAGCTGTGTTCAATGATCCAAAAACATTGATATAGTCAGCTATTTAACACCCCTAAACACACTTGCTGTTATATCCGTTAGAGCTCTTTTTCTTTTTTTTTTTTTCCCTCTCTTTTTTACAACAAAATTTACACATTTTGGATTTTATTACTCCTTAGTGCTTATTACTTTTTTTGTGGGGGAGAGAATAAAGTCAAATATGGCGAAACAAAGCTGTCAGTCAAAACCAAGAATAGACATAGCACATGGTGTAGAACAGAGTACAAGGTTATCAACAATGGTTATCAACGTTGTCTCTTGTTTCCTTAAAAAGAATTGTCTATCTCATTAGATATTATAAAGTTGGACAAAACAGTAGAGAACAAGACCAATAAAACTTAGGCATTGTAAACATTACAGGACTTCCAAAGAAAACAATGGCATTTTGACAGTGAGGACCAAGTGCTCTCCTGCTCTGTGTGCATGAAGAAGGCAGGTCGCTGCCCACCAGCATGTACAGGTGCTGGGGAAACCACTTCCAAGGAAGTGGGCAGCAGTTCCCCTGGGCTGGCCAGATTGCTGCAGTCTCTTGTGAGGGACAAAGGTGGCATCCACAGGGCCTCACAGAAGCAAATATGGCAGTGTCATTCCCTGAGGGGAGAGGGGGATGTCACACCTGCCTGCTGTCGCTGGTTGCGGGGAGGGGACATAAAGACCACTGCCTCTCTGAACTTCCCATTGCCCTTGATGCTGCCCTTGGGCTCCATGTCGCCAGTGATCGGGCCGTGGGGTGGTGGGCTGCTCTGGGGAGAAGGCTGCAATGAAGGTCTGTATAAGGAAAGGGGCCACAGCAAATGGAACTGCAATGTTACAGTTCTACAGCTTCCTATGGGGTCCACTTGGAGCAGCAGTGCCCTTTTCAGGCTAAGCTTTGGGGTGGCCTGGGAGACCTCCCCAGCCTGCTCTGTTCCACGCAGCCCATTCAGTGATGAAGGAGGATAAGAATCTCTGACGAGGCCCTGAGCAGTGCCTCGCTGCCCACACATCACGTTACTGGATGATTGAACCAAACCTAGATAACTTTATGGCAGCTCTCATCTGACACGGCTTCCATGGATGGGGACAGCATCTCTACCATCTGCAGAGTGCAGTGGGCGCCCCAGGACAGGCTGGACTCGGAATGGAAAACTACGGTATGCTTCCTGCTCCTCTCCACCTAGCAAGCATTCTTGGGATCAGATGAAGTAAAGCTGTCTTTGGGAAGGGATTGTGATTGGTGGGCAGGAGCTCAGGAGTCAGAGACCCAAACGTTAGCTCTGGCCTGGCTGGTTGTGATCCCTGAAATACGGGAAGATCAGAATTGTTGGATCTTATAGGATACAACACGGGTGTTGGCTTCTTTTTATTTTATTAGTAAATGTTTGTGGTGCATGCGTTTTACAGTTGTCTTTTTGTTTTTGTGTTTTTGGTACCTAGCCTTTGGCATGCAGTCATATGCAGCTTTTGTTTTTTAAGGGAATGAAACAGCTCATTACCAAACCCATTCAAGGTAAGCACTGCAACTCCTAATCTTTTTTTTTTTTCATATTTCTAGAATCCTGTCACACCTGAGATTTAAGTGCTTACAACCAGAAAAATCTGCATATTCATTCAGCACTGCAGAAGAACTTGTGGACTTCTTTGCCTGAGTTAAAGCTGGAATATTTGGGAGTTTGGAGAATCAAGGTAAGGGACGTTCTCCTCCTGACCTAGAGCAGCAGAACTGGCCTTTGGAATCAGGTCTTTATAGCACAACTTGTAGTCTAGGCCTGGAGTTCTTGGCACATTTTCTAGTACTTCATGGTGCTGGGGAAGTTGGCCTCGTAGTTCTCCCTGAAGTCATTCTCGGCAGTGAATGCTCTGTCACCTGTGAACTGAGCAGAGGCTTGGCAGGTCTGATAGGGTGGAAGGCGAGGAATTCCCCTAGAATTCAGCTGCTGGGAGCAGGAGACAAGGCAGAGGTGGCCCATGGTTCAGAGTGTGTCCTGAGGTAGGGCCGACCCGTGCTGGGCCCTGAAAAGGGCTGGCATTAATTAGCACTTGTGCGCATACTTGTGCTACTTGTACTGAAGACACGTCTGTCACCCTGGGAGTCGCTGCCTGCAGCCACGTATTCATAGGAGTACAGCGCACCTTTCCCATCTGTGCCGTGGATCACGTGCCATGGAACAGACACCAGGAGCACAGCGCTGGGCGCATGAGATCCACCCAACTTTACCTCCCATTCCCTGCCTGAGCCCGGCAAGCATAGCTCTTCTTCAGACTGTTCTTCTCCCAGCCACAAACCGGACCCTTACCTGCTTAGCGAGGAGACTGCGGGAATGGCTGAGCAGCGGGCACCCTCATTATTCCTCTCCTGTCTGTCATGTGATCATCTGGGTACCATTCTCTCTCGCCCCAGCCCTCTCCCGGATCACACAGCAGAGGGAAGAAGGACTTCTTCCTTTTGTCTGTGCCGTGATTTGAGTGTGTCCTCGAGAGTTCCTGGGTTGGAACTTAGTGTTCTGCTGAAGCAATAGAAAAGGTGAAAACAGTGGCGTCTTATTTTATTAGTTTTGGAGACAGGGTGTCACTGTGTTGTCCAGGGTGGCTGCCAGATCTTGGTGATCCTCCTACCTCAGCCTCCTGAATGCTGGGACTACAGGCATACACCGCCACACCTGGTATAGCGTCTTCATTTTTGACTCTTTTGGCCTCTGCTCCCTGGGTCACTGCTCTTGGATCCCTGCCTGCTGGCCGTCGTGGCTATAGTGCGAGGGCATTAGCAGGCTCCTGCCTTCCTGTGTGTGGAGCAAGCGGCTACAGTCATTAGTTCCAGGGCACACACATCAAGGTCGCTCCCCATAGGCAGTGTATGTGGCAGTAGACGCTCCTGGCCCTACAAACCTCTCTACTTGAAATAGAAACATCTTTTGACGCGACCTCTGGTATTGGCCCATTTCTTTATTACTGTTTCTGTGGTTTTCTGTTGAGGTTTTTGGCACATTGCATTTGACCTGAGTTTATTTTTAGCAGTACAAACAGAGTTCAGTTAATGTCAAAGCAAAGGCAGAGGAGGGATTCATAAGTCTTGGGGAAAATGTGCCTAATTTTATTTCTGCTGTAACATCTGTCCCCAAGCATGGACAGCCGCACTGCAGTCTCAGAGCTTGGTCTTCGATGCTTGGCACAGGCTCCGCAGACATGGGAGCAGTGGCTAGGTCCAGCCCCGAGGGTCAGGAGGGTCTCTGGGTCTCAGTCCCCTGTGTCCGACTGCTGGGTACTTGGGCAGCATCCACTGCAGCTCTTGCTCTGACAGCAGTTAGCATGAGCAGCACATGCATCAGGGTGGGACTACAGGATCGTCAGGGCTGATTTTCTCTCCTCAGGCCTCACCCCATCTTCAGAGGCAGTGGGTGCTGGGCTCTGGCAAAACTCAGCTCCTCTCCTTGGATGACCCACATCTTGTCTCTCTGCAGCTTCAGTCTTTTAGCTCATGATGGTGCAGAGATTGTGCTTGGGTACCCTTTCCTTGGGTTGACTGAATTTCCGGACACTGACTTTGGCCTCAATGAGGCGGCATCCCATGCCTTTGAAGACAGCCCAGGCTGCCTGCAAAGACAAGGCAAGCCCAGCTTCTGTTCCGCTTTGTGCCGGTTATCCAGGGTTTCCTCGGCCTTTCATTTCATTGCTGGAATGGGGTGGTTCACTGGCCTGGATTGCTAAGGCCCTGTGGTACTCATGGAGTAAAGAAGGAAAATATTCAGTTTCACTGATGCAGGCGCCGGAGAGACCTGGTGGTCCTGGACCCTCTCACTTCCCCCTGAGGTGGCTCCACGTGACAGTGTGTGTCTCCAGAGTCTTGCCCTTGCCCCTGGCCAGTATGGCATGATTTCAAGCCTGTCCCCTGCACAGGACTCTGGCTGTGCCTCCCCACCTCTCCCCGTCCCCGTTCTCTGCCTTTCTCAGTTCCTCTGTGTCCCTGTCTCCTCTGGCTGTCATCTAAGGACAAGAATTGTTCCCTTTGCTGTCCTTTTGAGGGAAGCAGTCTACTCTGGTGGGGCCGTGCTCAAGGTACTGTTTGGATGGGGGATCTTGGGTGTCCCCGAATCCCCAAGTACCTTGTTGGTAACTGGGTTGGCAGGATGTACCAGATCCCTCCATACCCTCACCTGTTACCTGCTATGAACCAGGGGCTTTGATGGGCTGGAAGATGCCAACCAGATGAATAAATGATCTCTGTCTTTGAAGACTTTCGTATTGACTTATTATAGGAATCACTAGAGAAGCAGAACCATGCAAGGTGAAGGTGGACACATACTTTGTCCGTTTCTGGATCTCTATATCCATATCCGTATCTGTACATCTGTGTGGAGAGGCGTTTAGTAGAAGCCTTGGCTCCCAGTTGTGGAGGAGGTTGTGCAGCCCAGCACACCTGCCCGCTGTGGGTTTTTGTTCTGTCACTGTGCAATGCTGAGCTCATCTTTTATGTTTCCCTGGCATCAGCCATTCCTCACCCAGAGCCTGCTTTGTTTGGTTGAAGAATGGGGTTAGAAAGTGCAGGCTTGCTGCTGCCAGGGCGAGCTCTCGGCCGACAGAGCTGTGACTGTGTGTGTGTGTGTGTGTGTGTGTGTGTGTGCACCAATACACACCTCTCTACAGGCATCCATCTGTGTGTATGAAGCTAATCATGAGTGCATGCCAAGTCCTCACCGAGGAATGACACATTTACACAGAGGGAGACGTGTGCCACCCAGGACATTGGCACACCACGACCCTCCCTGGTCTGTGTCCTCCTCTTAGTCTGCCTGGCCTTCTGCTGTGGCCCTTTCTGTTGCCCCTGCTCTGCTTCTGAACAGCTCCTTTCCCATATTCCCTGCTTCTCCCGGGGCCTCCGGCTCACCCGCCAAATGCACCACTGCTTCCTGAGCCCAGGCGCACTGAGTGCAGTGGTGGGGTCTTGGTACTCTCCTGAGGTCCCTCTTAGCCGCTGCCTCACAGCTGGTGTCTATAAGGCCAGCAGGGAGAACTGAGTGGACCTGGTAGGGACTTAGCGGGCAGGGTCCAGGAGCCCTGGCTTGTGGTGCTGGCCTGGCTGCAGACTGCTGGTCTTGCTTGCTCAGCGTGGCCAGGCGCCTGTCTGTGGCTCAGGCCCTGTGCTCAACAGCAGGTTGGAGTGTATTGACTATTATCTCTGTGTGTGGCCAGCCTAAAGGGGACAGTGGCCACCCCATGGTCACTGTCGATGACTCTTGAAGGTCTGTGTGCTTGTGTGACCACACCCGATTATTTAAAGGAAAAAGAGACAGTGGAAAGCAGAGGGCCTCCCTCTTTCCTTTTGCCTTCTGCCCTGAGCGTGTCCCTGTCCCAGTCCTTACCTGGGTGGCACTGTCCTAGGAGAAGCAGGTACTCCTTGTCTATGGGAATTTTGTGCCCCATACTCCTCCCCAGCTTCAGCTCGGTGCTATCAGAGATGACACTGTGGCCAACCCCAGGCCTTTTGGTTCTGATAACCTTGCCACACTTCTCCTGCCTCGATTCTCAAGGGTGGGGTTTGTTTTCTGTAATTGCTGCTTTTCCCGTGCTTCTCTATCCCCACCTTTGCCTTTTCTATTTCCTGCAGGCTTGATGGGCCTGAAAAACATGCAGTTCCTACCCGCTCCTCCTGAGTTCCCCTGAGCACCAGAGCTGCCACCTGTGCCACCCACCTGTGGCGTCTTCCACCCCTGTGGCATCATGTTGGGAAGCCCTGATGACCGACCTCGGCCCTCAGCCGGTGGTGCTGTGGCCCACAGCTCACGGGATTACCCAGCCTGCTGGTGTGGAGTTGATGCTTCGGGTTTTCCACTGCGAACAATGGTCCCCAGGGTGGGCAGGGCTCTACCCTTTGTGGGCGGGGTGGAAACAGCACTCTCTAAATAGTGCAAGGGCCGTTCTCACAAAGGAAGTAAGGCTTCTGGGGAAAGGACGTGGGCTATAGCTTCTTGGGGGGTTTCATCCACGCCAGGGGCAGGGGGGCCCCCAGCAGACTGACCGACATACTTCCTGTGACCCTTCCTGCGTACAGGCTGTAGAATCTCCTGCTAGCTGCTCGCTTCTGTGCCTCACACCTGAGACATGAAACATTGCTTACAGAGCAAAAATAATTCTCCTTCCATGGTTCTGTCTTTGTGCCTATGTCTTTTGGGGCTCCTGTAATAAAATAGTATAAACGGTGTAGCTTATGAACCACTGAAATGTTTCCAACAGTTCTGGATGCTGGCAGTCCCAGAGTAGTGTGCGTGCAGAAGGCGTCTGCCGAGCACCGTCTTCTCCCTGTGTCTGCCCAGTGGGAGGGAGGCCGGAAGGTAGGGCACTGATGTGGCTCGCTACCCAAGCCTCCTTGCTGATAACTGCCCACTGTTCATGCTGTCTCCTTGTGTAGGAGGTGTCCAGCACACGAGTTCTAAGGGCACACCAGCATTCAGACCATGGCAGCCCCATACAATAGCCCTGTGACGTCACCTTCTGACCACGCCGTTCAGCGGTCGGGGTCACTTGGAAGCTGAAATTTACATTCCTGGAGTGAAAGGTGCCATATCATACCAAGTAATACTCGTGGAGGTTCTTACGGGTCACAGCCACAATGACAATCCAGTTTGCAAGTGGACTTTTGCACATGTGTTTGGTTCTTTTTCCATGTTACTCTTTATTCTTTAGTGGGGTATGTGAATTGCTTGTTTCCTAGGGCTGCCTTAACAAAGTTCTACAAACCAGGCTTCTGAAAACCATACGCCTGCACTGTATCTTCAGGTCATGTGGGGGCTGGAAGCCTGTGGAAGTACCCTTAAGACCATGTTGCTGCTGAGGACTCGGGAGAATCTGCCCTTCCTTCCTCTCTTGCATCCTTCTGGCTGCCCTGGCAGTTCTTGCTGCCCCTGGGTTTGTAGCTACACCACTCCAACCTTTGTGTGTCCTCCTGTGGCCTTCTCTCCGTGTGTCTGGGTCCTGAGTCCCCCTTCATCTAGTGACCAGGACCCCTTTATCCATCTTACCTTGGTTGTGTGTGACCACAATGCCGTTTCTGAAGAAGGTCATGTTTGCAGATGCTGGGGTTTGGGTAGTCCACAACAGGGAGAGGAAAATGCTATGATTTTTACTTTTGTTTATTTACTTATTTTTTGCAAAATATTTTTACTTTTAGTTTTTAAGATAGTATAGGCATGTATGTGTGTGTGTGTGTGTGTGTGTGTGTGTGCATGTGTGTGTGTGTGTGTGTGTGTGTGTGTGTGTGTATAAATTATAAGTAGATTGTCACATTTGGGGGCTCTGCACAATGAGGACCTACTTAAAAGGAAAAACGACCAGGTCTGGCTGATGAGAGGCCCCGTCTTCGTGTGCTCTGCCTGCTGTGATGAAGTATCGTAGGTTGGGTGTCTTTAAACAGGGGATAACTTTCTCAGTTCTGCCTCTGTAAAGCCCAAGGCATGGCAGCTGGCTGGCTGTCCAGTGTGGGTTCTCTTTCTGACATGCTGATGTCTGCCTTCTTGCTGCGTCTCCACATGGGGACGGGTGGGGGACAGGTGATGGGTGGAGCTCTCCAGTGTGTCTTTCTGCGAGGATGCTTACCCTGGCCAAGGTTCCGCTGCAGGACCACATGTGACCCTGTAGCCTCCATGAAGGTCTCATCTCCAGGAGCTGCATGGGAGCTAGGACTGCGACATATAAATTTGGGAGGGGACTCAATTCAGTCCACAAAGGCTCCCTGTTGTCGGACCGCAAGACCCCTTTAACATTTGAGAGTTACGGTGAAAACTTGAAATCTAGTATGGTGGGTAGAATATGACTTTGTTTCCAAGTATGCCTCATTTTTATTCTGGCTTTTTAAAAATCCTCTCTCCTTTTTCTTCTACATTTATACCTGGATGATTCAGGCAGATTAATTGCCCTTTCTGAACCTGTTTTCTGTGTGGAGATAGAGGCTGTCTACAGGATCATTTGCGAGGCTCAAGGAGAATACTAAGCAGGTGTTCAGTAGCCTTGACTGTTGTCCCTCTGTGGAAGCGCCTTGACCCCTGTCCGTGCAGATTGGGAGGGCTTCCATGGGGTTCACCTTAGAATGATCCCTGGGGCCTTTCTGAGCCCTGTCTTTTGGTGTGGAACCATGATGCCATGTTTTGTGCACAGGTCAGGATTCTTGTCCTCTCCCTCCCTCCGCTCCTTTCTTCTCTTTCTCTCTTTCCCAGCACTAAAGAGTGAAGGGTCTTCACCCTGAGCTACACCTCCAGGAAAGCCAGAATCTCAGTAAGTTGTCCAAGTTGGGCTTGAACTTTCGGTCCTCTTACCTCAGCCTGCCAGAGTGCTGGGGTTCCAGGTGTGCACCTCCATGTACGGCTGGCTCCTAGGTTAGTTTTTAAAGCAGGGTCTGAGTGATCAGAACAGCTCCTAAGCAGCAGCCATCAAGACCAAATTTCGTGTATTGGGGGAGGGAGGAGGGAAGGCTTGGCCTGGGGTTACCACTTTTTCACTTTTATTCATCTCAAAGTTCTCTCCTTCCCTCCCTGTGTCATCTGTTGAGTGTGCTAACGATTCAGTGGTGGAGTTTGTAAGCACAGAGAAGCAGGACATTGTATGCAGGAACCTGAAGTCCCAACAGCCCAGTGGGAGTCCAGCAAAATCTGTTTTTATCAGGTAGTAAAGGCCTAAACAGAGAGATGGATTGCTCTCCAGATTCATTCTAAAGCAGCTTTCCAGGTAGCTCCCTTGTTACCTGGGCAGTTGTGGCCGCATTCCTTCCCCTCTGTGTTTTCATTCTGTTGCCTGTAAAGACAGCCACGCCTTTTTTCAAAGCTGAGAAATGCATCTCAGCACCAAGGTGGGTACTCATCATCAGAGGTTGGACTGGAAACCTCACCTTTACCTTTGCAGCCTTTTAACTTTCAAGGCTCTGTGAGTGCTGAAGGTCCCAGGCAGAGCATAGCATGGGTGCCAGCTCTCCATTCATTTCCAGATAGCATCCTGCTATCGGGACAGTCATGTCTTCTCCGTGGCATCTGTCTCTGTTGGCCCTAGAAAATTCCTCTGTGCCTGGTTCCTGTACTACCCCTTGCACCCACTCAGGTGCCAGCACCCCACATCCTGCCTCCCGGCTGCAGCATCAGCACTGGCAGGGTGTGTGTCGTGGGTATGCTGAGATGTGGGCACCCAGTGGACTGCCAGCAGGGCTGGCATGGTGGCGTGATGCTCTCTGGAAAGAGAGGTTGGCTGGGATGTCTGTGTGTTGAGAGCCTGTGAGCCCATTAGCCCTGTAGTACGCTCCTGGGAGTCATGCTCCGGCGTGTACATGGAATCCATTTCAGTGGTCATCGGTTCCACACCCCCACTGCAGCATGGAGCCTGGCGGTCAGCCGTGCTGCTCAGCGCAGTGCACGGAGGTCCCAGAAACAAGGGGTGCCGCTCCCTCCTCCCTGACCTGACCAGGAGGCACCTGTGGCAGCTTCATGCCTCACGGATGGGTTGGTAAAGTCACATTTGCCAGGTTCACTGGGAGGAGGTTTCTGTCTTTCATATTGTAAGCATCTCGTCAGGAGACGCCTTAGGACCGTGTCAGCATCTCCTTTCCCACCCCACTTTCCCTGAGCTAGTGTTAGTATCTGTTCTGGCCTGAAATAATTATTACTCCACTGTTTGCTAAATAGCACGTTTCTTTACCCATCATTACCTCTGCATTGTCAGTTAGAATCCTACTGTAAGGAATACATTTCCTTTTCTATTAGATAACATTTATTATTTACATCAGTAAGGACTTATGGATTCTTATTGTTTGGGTTATAGTCTGTGACTATAATTATTTTGTGGCTTAGATTTTCTTGAATTTGGCCCCTAGCATACCTTTCAGTTTTGGTTACATGTCCTGCGTGTTGACATTTCTCCATTACTTTGTGAACTCTGCCTTATATTTTGCCCAAGGCCACCATGTTCCAGGCCTATCTCCATGTGTACTGTAAGAAGGAATACTATAAGAAGTATTCCTTACAGTAGGTCTCTGATTGACAATGCAGAGGTAATGATGGGTAAATCAGCAGTGGCACCTGGGATATTGTGTTATCTAGACTTAATAAGGAAAACATATCCAATAAACCCATATTAAGGGGCATCGTATCAAATACCTGGTCACAGGACAAATCATGACTGCAGAAGTCTGGCAGATTTACAAAAACTAAGGGCCACAGCAACAAAATGCAGTGTGTGACTCAGGATCATATTCTATGTTGGAAAAGGACATCATTAGTGAAACTTGGATGTGTCTCGTGATAAGCAGTAGTATGGCTGAAGTTGATTTCCTGATACGCTTAGACAGTCATACTGTGGTCATGTAAGAGAACCACATTTAACAATTCACAAAATTACACAGGAATTCTGTGGGGTTTTTTGAACCCAATGTGTAAATGCAAGATTATCTCAAAATGAAAACTAAAAGAAAATTAAACAGCTCAATGATGTAAATTTATATTTGTCCATACCAAGTGTTATCTGTCACCCGCTAATTGAACAGGCCATGCCATAGTATTGACCCAGTTCTGTAAAATTAAGACAGAACAATGTATAGCAGATGCATAAGCTGCACACGAGATAAATTCTGAGAAAGGTGTGTGTTTCCTGTTAACAGACATTTCTGGTAAATGTGATTGGAAGGTGTGAGGTAGTGAGAGCTTTTACTTTTTGGTATTTTTAAAAAATAAACAGCGTGTTTTCATACTGTGGTGGGAAATCACAGGCACTGGCTGGATGTGTGGGTGCCTGCCTGCCCATGCGTGCTGAATTCTGAGGCTCCTCACCTAGTTCCTGCTTGCTTGTCTTTCTCCACAGATAGGGCTATGCATAGTTTTGCTTGAAGGACACTCTGGTTTTTCAGTCTGTTAACCATCTTCCCACATCAAGTTCTAGGTAAAGCAGGTCGCTTGTGGACACAGAGCAGCCTGCTGTCCAGATCTGTGCAGCAGTGCCCACCACTCATCTTGCCTTTACGTAAGGGAAGGCTATTGTCCACCCTGGAAAATGGTAGGGAGAACTTTCTTCCTGCACTGGAGCCATTTCCATCTCCCTAGGAAGCAGGAATTAGGAAGTTATAGCTGTCATATACATCCAAGAGAGCTTGGTGCTACCACCCAGTTAAGGAATGAGCTGTCAAGTTCTCCCGGGAGTCTGTAGTGACCCTGGGCTTCTGTAGTTAATATGGAATTTATTTCAGACATCTTTGTTACATGGATATCATGGATAGACTTGACTTTGGGGCAGGCACTCCTTGACCACAGAAGTGTAGAGCCAGAAGAGGAGAAGTGTTTCTGGTAGGGGCTGTGTGCCTCGAGCTGTTAACAGGTATTTCTGGTAAATGTGATTGGAAGGTGTGAGGTAGTGAGAGCTTTTACTCTCTGTTGGTCACTGTCACCTCCTGCTGTTGGGGGGCGCTCTTGTGTGTCACTGAGGAAACTTTGCATGATTCCTGCCATTTCTTTCAGCCCACCCAGAGCTTGGGGCTCCTAGATGGTCACTCCGGTTTTGTCTCCTGGTTCCTTCTGCAGTATCTCATGGGATGGAACCCAAGCAGTGGCACAGCAGTAGCAGTGTCAGTAAGTACAGTCTGTGGGTGTCTTCACCAAGCCCTGGTTATGCAGGCTGTAGTCAGGTACTGCATTTTTGTTCCTCTCTGTCAGCCCTGAGGGTGAGAGGGCTCCTATTGGCAGGGACTGGCCAGAAACCAGAGGCTTAACAGGGCTTCAACATGCTGTTCTCGTTTCCATGTTCATTCTCTTTAGAGAGTGAAGCCCTAACGTCAGGTTTGTGCAAGCTTGTGAGCGCTGACCAGCTTTTTCTCCTACAGACTTATGGGCATGTATCCCTAGACACTATGAACACACAATTGAAGCAGCATTGACACACATCACCCTTGTATCAGTGCATCTTTAAGCTAATTACGAAGTATTCAGATGCTAAGCTGTACAGCTCCTAGCATATAAATTAGTTAGCAGAAACATTTTTGGGGACCAAAGGTAAGGAAAAAAGTAGGGATGAGAATAATTTTTCAAGAAAAGTAGTCATTTTCTAATTACTATGATAAAAGAAATGGCAGTGTCTAAGGTGATTAGGTGTTGTTTTGACTGTAGTCAAAGAAGCATCACAGGGCTGGGGAGAGAGCTCAGCAGCACACAGCCAGGTTTAAGAATTCAATTCCTGGTATCAAAAAAAAAAAAATGGCACCACATAACAAAATATCTGTTGTTAAAAATATTTGCTCCATAAAGGGCCTATTCCGTATATCATATATAAGACATAGGTCTCATTATAGAAAAAAATATGTGATTATTTTTTTCACTCTTCTTTCAGGCTGTCCCTATTAAATGGCGCCTGCTGGGGAAATATTCATTGAACTGTAAACTCTTTTTCATCTGTAGACATTAAAAACACATAGGTGTTATTGAGTGCACCTTTAACTGAGGCTCTATGAGTCTTCAAAATTCAGTTTTTAAAAGTAAGAGTACAGCATGATACTTTAAGAAATCCATTGAAGAATCTCCTGATGCTTGGTAAATCCAATAAAAGCAGTGGCTGTAGGAATAGTGTCCTGTGTGAGTGTCACCGTGTAAACATACACAGCCACGTAACTGTGTGATATTGTCCGTCTTCCGTGCTTCAGATGCCCGGGCTGTATCCTGGAGTGTGTCTAGGGTGGAATGCTCATTCTCTTTGAATTTGACTGTATTCTGCTGGGCCTTTTACAATCTGATCTTTTTTATTGATAAGCTTCTGACACAGGAAATAACTTTCAGTAGGAATCATAGCTCGCTAGACATGATTTGTGCAAAGTCAGCTGATTAAGTATTTCCATGGCTTTGCAGCCAGAATCTTTTGCAAAGTGCTGAGTAGGTTGACAAGAACCCCCAACCAGAAGTTGCAGTTGGAGCGAACTCGGCCCTAGCAACTGCTTTTCAGTATTCTGGGACTAGCTTCACTGGAATTGGTCTCCAGGCTTCCCTGTGGCTGATCTGCGCCTCAGATGATGACCTCCCTCGGATTCTGGCCTGCAGTTCTCGTCAGCCTGCCTTTACTGAGCCTAACAGTTGTGTCAGTGACCACTGGAATCCGGTTTCAGGAAGCTCCTGCCTCCTGCGAAAGCTCCGGGGTGCTTTGGTCTTACAAACTATAAAAGATCTCTGTCTGTTCGCACTTTCATTTAATACTGAGACCGTATTCTGAGGGCTTTTCATAACACTTGTCCCATAGTGGCCAGCAAGGTCGGCATCAGCCTCCATCTTGAAGATTTAATCTGTCCTGAGGACCTGTACTTCAGTGGTGAATTGTTTTGGAAGCCCAGTCCGGTCCTTTCTGTTCTCCATGGCAACGGTGTCCCAGATGGTTTTGATGGCTGTAGCTCCAGGGCTGTGATGGCCCTCCTCAGTCATCAGAGGGTGGGTGGGCCTCTGGCAGGGAGAAAGGCAGGTGGCTACCCTTCAGCAAGTGCCAGTCAGTCTCCTGTGACGATCTGGCAGACACCGGTGGAGTCCTGGTTTGTATTTGTTTTCAGGACGTTCCCATTGAGCATCCACTCTGGGCCAGGCATTGTGCTTGGCATGAGTGGGTGGGGGAAATCTGACATGACTATTCCACTTGACATCTCATTCCAGTTCCAGCACGGCTGATGCATTTACCTGCTCTGTTCCTACAACATAGTGCCTAGTCCAGAAGACACAGCTTACCTTTACCTCCTTCTGCCTTGTTTGTTATCTCCTCCTCCTAAAATGAGGGTCACTCCATTAGTTCCCTTATAAGGCTGTTGTGAACAGGATTTGGCTACCTGGCTAGGTAAGGCCTGGTTAGGGCTCTATAATTACTTACCTATCCACCTTGAACACTGAGCTTTAGTGCTGGCCTTGGGGTCAGGCACTGTGATTCTTGCATTTCTGAATTGCAAGTGTCATTCATTCATCCATTCACTGATCCAGCTCATTTTCAGCAACACAAGACTGTCAGATGCTTGAGTTTAAAGGATGGGCTGACCTTTATGGAAGCCTTCACAGTCTTCTGGGAAATACAGACATACAAATGAGGACAGGTTTGGACCATCACAGCTGCTCTGATACGTGAGCCAGTGAAGAATAGGGATGCAAGGATTCATGGGCTCTGGAAATGGACGTGGGCCTAATGCAGAGATGTCCACACTGCTCGATTAGCCCTGACATTTTGGTGGGAGATGTTGTATCTCCCAGGTCCCTGCTTGACACAGCAGGTATGCAGTGATACCCAGAGTAGCTTCTGTCCAGAAGTTTGTCCTTTTCCCCAAAGAGAAGGTGAGCCAATTAGTGCATCACTGTGCCCTCCATCAGCGTGCACATGCTAGAATCCTTGGATGGGTGCTGAGACGATTGCCACTCACTAGCGCCTCCCTGGGAGGTCATCAGTCTGCGACACCCTAAGACTCTCACTGTTGCTGAAAGATGACTAATTTAGAGCAGGGACGTGAAGGGCTTTGAAATGTCCCTGTCTGCACATCTGGCCTTGCTGTCAGGTCACATAGTTATTTCTGATAAGTTCTTTGGCTTCTGTGAAACAGCCAGCCGTTCCTGGCTGTGATTGGTGCTGATAGCAAACTGAACGGGGAGCACACGGAGGGGAGCTGGGCACCCAGAGTCGGGGAAGGATGGCTTCTTCGCCCATTTCAGAGTAACAGGGAGGCTTCGAGGTTGGTTATTGACACCTGACACCATGTTTGCCGTCCCTAGTTCCACTGGGCATGAAGTTAGAGTGGGATTAACTGACCACGAGATGGGCACTGAACAGGGCAGCTGGTGACAGTACGACTTGGCCTTTTCTAGATGCCGTGTTCTTCTTGGAGTGTCCACGCTGCACCCCTCTTTAGGACCTGCTGAGCACATGGGCTCTTAGTGTGGCAGCCGCTGGGAGCTCTGGAAGGATCACAGACTCAAGGAGTTTTCCAAGCTGTTCTGCCTTCCTGGGCCTTGGTGCCCATCCTGCTGGCAAAGGGGCAGTAGACAGCAGAAAAGGCCCACCCATTTCTTTTAAAAATGCTTGCTTTAACTTACACATACATGAACTTAAAAGTGGCACATAATTATGGCGTGGCCTGATGTTTTCATACACGTGGATACAGTGTATTTAAATCAGTAAACATGTCTGTCTCTTGCTTGTCATTGCTTTATGTTGCAAATATTCAAAATCTTGTCTTGTGTGTTTTTGAATACATGTACATCATTATCTGTAGTCATCAGGGGGTGCAGCAGCACCCTGGAGCATCTTCCTCTTACATGACTATAACTTGGTACATATTACCTGGCCTCTCCTCTCCTCCCTTGCCCGTCCCCTCCCCACCTCTGGCAATAACTACTGAGCTCCTATCTCCTGTGACACTCTTCTTAGCTGAGTGTGGTATTGGTCTGTCCCTGGATTATTTCTTTTGTGCGTAACATGTATTTATATCCACCATATCACCAACAATAGGACTGCCTCATTTATATGGCTGAACAGTATTCCATCATGTCTGTGCCCCATTTTTCTCCATTCATCATTCAGTGGCTCTTAGGTCATTTCTATTTCCTGGCCGCCAGGATCAGTGTTGCGGTAGACATGAGAGGTCCGGTCATCTTTGACTTCAGATTTCTTTTCCCTAAAATACATACCCAGCGGTGGGATTGCTGGATCATATGGTAGTTCTGTTTGATGTATTTATTTATTTTTGGAGAAATCTCCAGCCTTTTTCCCATATGGCTGTACTAATCCGAATTCCCACTGATCACATTAAGGGTCGTCTTTCCTCTTTAAGACAACTTGTCATCCTTTTCCTGTTGATAATAGCTATTCTTGCTTAAGTGAGGTGATATCTTACTGTGGAGTTAATTTACATTTTTCTGATAATCAGTGATATTTAGAATTTTTTCAGCTATCTGATGGCCATTTGTGTTTCTTCTTAGAAATGCTTATTTATATTTTATTGATATTGTTGCCTATATTAAAATCTTTGGCGTTCCCTATATATATTGTGAATGTTAACACCGTGTCAGATGTATAGTTTACTAATACCCCTCCCCTACAGAATTTTGTCATCTTTTTGCTGTGATGTTTATTATGTTTGCTGTGCAGAAACTTTTCAGTTTGTTGTAAACCATTTTTCTGTATGTAGTTTTGCTTCCTATACCTTTGAAGTCTTGTTCCAAAAATGCTTATTTGTCCTGAAGGATTTTCCCTTCAAGTAGTGTTTTCTTCTAGTAGTTTCATAGTTTCAAATTTTAAACCTAGTCTTCAATCCATTTTGAGCTGATTTTTGTAACCGGTGAGGTATAGGTTATCTAGTTTCATTCTTCTTCGTGTCGCTGTTCAATTTTCCCAGCACTATTTGTTGAAAAACTGTCTTTTCCCACTGTGTAGTCTTAGCACCTTGGTCAAGAATCAACTGGCCATAGATGCAAGGGATTAGCTCTACACTTCCTGGTCTGTCCCACTG